CTGTAAAACCTCTGTAACCATCAACTGAGCAGATTTAATAGGAAGGCTTTTCCCCCTAAATTGGGAAGAACTGAAGATAATTTCACAGCTCTTCTGAGGCAGCCATCAAGAGAGCTACAGACACAGAGCCCAGAACCGGAGTGTACCTACCTCATCCCCTGCCACTCTCAAAAGGAAGCAGCAGTCCTTGGACATGGCCTGTTCTCCCCAAAGAAGAGCTTTGAAAAGATGAGTGCCAAATTACAGTAATTTAGACTATTTAACAATCTTCTGGTAGAGGAAAATAATTCACAGGCATCTGTGGGAGAGAGTGAGGTTAACGATTCAATCACATTTTGATTACGGAGGAATCTTACCCTGCTAGAATCTGCAAAATGATGAATGAGTCAGTTCTGTCATGTGTTTGCAGTGTTGTTAGTACTCATAATTCCTGAGGAGTGCAAGTTTTAAACTAGTCCTTTGTTCACTAGATAAATTATTGACTGTGATGAAAGCTTCCTTTGTACAACCAGAATACTTTGTCAACACATTTCATTGATTACAATATGCTTTGTCGGTCCAAAAATCTGAATGAAAGAGTCACAATTCATAATGAGTAGATCTCTGTGTCACAGTACCAATTCCCTTTCAGGTATAAGATGGTATTATTACCCAGCCAAAAAGGAAAACAAGATAATTTAGAGGTGTAGCAAAGTACAGCAATCACGAGGGTGCAATGGAAAATCATTGGAATACACCACTTGCCTCAGATCTATTGTTACCTGCCTTAAATTTTCTAAGCTCTTATCTCTTTAGAAGGCAATAGTCATAATTAGCTCATTTAAGGGTGTTTTCTCTGATCATAAATGCTCCAACTGTCAAATAAGGACTGGATGTGTTGAACCTTCACCTGTGAATAATAACCAATCTTAAATTCTATGTACCATCAAGATAATTCTAACTCATAGCAACAAAATATAATGGAACCAGTGCCATCTTCAGAATTGATGTTGTTTGAGACCATTGTGAAAGTTACTCTGTCAATCCATCTCATTGAGGAACCTCCTCTTTTACATTGATACTTTACTATTATGCAGGGACTGATCTATCCTGATAAAATGTCTAAATGCTTAAGATGAAATATTATTATCTTCCTTCCTAGCCATTGTCCAAGATATATGTCTGAATTCTTTTGTCATTCAAGGTACATTCAATATTCTTGGCCAACACTATAAATTCAAATGCATCCAACTCTGTGTTCTTTCCTATTCATTGTCTAGCTTTCAAATGCAGAGGAGGAAACTAGAAATATCATGGATGAGTCAGGCACACTAGTTCTGAAAGCAGTATTTTTGTTTTGAACACTTTAAAGAGGTCCTTAGCGTCAGATTTGCCTTATAACTTTTGTTTCAATGGATATTGATTATGGATCGAGTAAAATAAAATTCTTGACACTTGTAATCTTTTATCTATGTATTTTAAAGTTCCTTATTCTTCCAGATATGAAGATTTTTGTTTTCTTCACACTGAAGTGTTATCCATATTAAAGTATTCAGTCTTTGTAAGTGCTTCAAGTTATCTTGTTGTTGTTAGGTGCCATCAAGTTGAGTTGATTATGACTCTTTCTTACTCCATGAACAAAAGCTATGAAACCTGTTCTATCCTGACACACAACTGCCCATTGGTTGAGTAACTGTTATCAGTCCAGCTGGTTGAAGGTCTTCCTCTCCCTTACCGACCCTTCACCTTTCCCAGCATCATGTTCTTCTCCAAGGAATAGCCCCTGCTAGCCCAAAGTATGTGAGGCAAAGCCTCATCATTCTTGCCTCCAAAGAGCCCACTGGCTGCACCCTCTCCAAGATATATATATTTGTTCTCTTGGCTGTCCATGGGATGTTTAGTGCTCTTCTCCAACTCCACAACTCAAAGGCGTCAACTCCTTTTCTGTCATCCTTACTCATTGTCCTGCTCTCAGATGCATAACAAGTAATTGGAAAGACCACGGTCTAAATCAGATGTACCTTATTCCTCTTAGGAACACTTTATTGTTCCTTGGCACCATATTTGCCCAATAACTTTTGTTTCAATAGTCATTGATTGATTATGGATCAGGCAAAATAAAATCTTTGATGTTTCTAATCTTTTCTCTATTTATCATAAAGTTATATATTGTTCCAGATAAAAGATTTTTTTGTTTTCTCTATACTGACGTAAATTCCATATTAAAGTCTTCAGTCTTTATCAGTAAGTGCTTCAAGACCTCTCAGGAAACAAGATTGCATCATCCACATTTGACAGTTTCTTAGAAAGTCATCTTCCAGTCCTGATTCTATGTTCTTCTTCATTTCTGAGCTCATTATTGCACAGATTGCATAAGTGTCGTGAATTATGACACTTTCCTGATTTTATGCCATGCATATCACCTTGTTCTATTCTAACAACTACATTTTAGTCTATGTATAGGTCCTTCGTGAGAACAATTAAGATTGTAGTAATTCCCATTCTTCTCAGCACTATTTGTATTATACTATGATCTGTGTAATCAAACATTTTTGCATAAACACCTCTCTGCTATTCTTTGAATTTCAGCAAGATTCATTTTATATCAATAGCAGTAACATTCATTGTTGCACATTCTCTAGTGAACTCAGTTTGAATTTCTGGTAGTTTCCAGTTGATAAACTGCTCCAACTGTCTTAGAATTATCTTTAAGAATATTTTATTATGTATAATATAAATAATATCATTCAATAATATTTGTGTTGTGTTATGTCAACTTTATTGGCAATTAGCACAAATATGGATCTCTTCTAGTCACAGAGGCAGATTGTTATGAAACAAATTTCTTGGCATACACAAGTGATCACTTACAAGGTTGCATCCAGTTACTAAAATATCTAATTTGGTAGTATATCCATTTCTATAGCTTTGTTTTCACCAATGCCTTCAGTACGTCAAATATATCATAGTATGAATTAGAAGAAAAATTTTAATAATAAAGTCAAGAAAATAGTTATTCAAAATCTGTGGGCAAGATTTCTGTCTAGTATTTCTAAGTGTGAGAGGGAAGAAAATTTAATAAAGAATCATAATTGAAGAAAGGAAGCAGATTGAGAGACTAATTTAAAGTAGCATCAACTAAAGGGAACTGAGAGATTCAGAGATAAGAGTGGGCAGCAAGGAGAAAAATTTGGAGAAGTGTGAAGAAAGAAAACAAAATTATACCAATTCATGTGTTTGGCAAAATCAACCTAGCTATGAAAAGAAATTCACAGATGTTTTACATTTCAAAAAAAGGATCTAATGAAAGTTTCTTACTATTTAAAATAAAAAAGGATATTTTCTTACATTTTATTTATTTAAAACTTTCAGTCAGTACATTTACTTTCAAAATGTTAAACCTTATTCCTCTCATATTCCCTTTCTTCATGTTTTTCCAATGATCCTTAAGGCTAAATAATTCATTGACGTGTCAAATGATGTCCTAGTCTTAGGACTATAATTTCCCTCCTGTATCCCAACAAGACAGGTTTATAAAACTTATTAAGTTAGAACATATGTTTCAATTACTGTGTCTGTCAGTATGATAGTCTGTTGTTATTGCTGTTGTTTTTGCAATGGACCTACAACCTGTGAGTGAGCTATGATTCATAGGGCCTTAATGCTTTATCTGGCACCATCCTTACAATCTCTGCTATGCTTAAGCCCCCTGTTGCAGTCACTGTTTCAACAGTTCTTGTTCAGGATCTTATTTTTTTTGCTGACCTTCCACTTTTCTAAGCATGGTGCCCTTTTTAGACACTGTAGCTTTCATGATAACATGCTCAAAGTATGTGAGGCCTCAGTCTTCCTATCTTCAAAGAAGCATTTTGACTTTACTTCATTCAAGGCACATTTATTTGGTCTTTTAGCAGCCAATGATATATTCAGTATATCTCTCCAATATTACAATTTAAATGCATCAAGTCTTCTTTGGTCTTCCTCATTTTTTGTACAACTTTCATATGTATATGATGCAACTGAAATTTCTCCCAAACATCACATTCACTGAAAACAAAAATACAATAATGTGAGTCGACAGGATAATATCCATACACATACAAGAAAGATCTATTACTACCACTATCATTCAAATTTATGCACCTATAACCAGAGCCAAAAAGGAGGAAATAGATGATTTCTATCAATTGTTGAATTCAAAAATTGATCAAACATATAACCAAAATGCAATAATGGGTGACTGTAATGCAAAAGTTGAGAATCAGAAAGGCGGAGCAGTAGTCGGAAAATGTGGAGTTGGTGACAGAAATGTGGCTGGGGATAGAAAGATAGAATTCTGTACAATCAATGATTTATTCATAGCAAATACCGTTTATAAGAAACATAAATGCAGGTTATACACATAGTTTCACCTGATGGGATGCACAGGAATTATTGATTACAAGGAAGGAACCTTTGGAGAAGTTCAATATCAGCAGTAAAAATTAGGCCAGGTGCTGGTTGTGGAGCAGACCATCGCCTGCTTATATGCAAGCTCAAATTAAAGCTAAAGAAGATTAAATCATATCCACAGGAATAAAAATTTGACCTTCACTCTATCTCCCATGAATTTAAAAACCAACTCTGGAATAGGTTTGAGGCCTTGAACACTAATGAACGAAGACCAGATAATCTGTGGGAAGATATCAAGAATATCATCCATGAAGAATGCAAAAAGTCACTAAAAAGAAGGAAAAAGAAGAACAGACCAAAATGGATGTCAGAAGAGACTCTGAATATTGAACTAGAGCACCAAGATGCCAAAGCAAGGGGAAAAAATCAAGAAGTTAAGGAACGGACTAGAAGATTTCAAAGGACCACTCAGAAAAACAAGGCAAAATATTATAATGAAATGTGCAAGGACCTGGAATCAGAAAATCAAAAGTGCTGAATTTCTTAAGCTGAAAAAAATGAAGAATAGAGAAACCAGTGGGACCTTACGTTGTGGGTTTGCACGTGGGCAATTCTTCAACCAATCACAGTGTCATCCAACACACAAGTATCGCTTTCTTCATATGATGAAGATCAGGGATCCAAATTGATTCGAAAAGCTAAAGAGGCACCATTTGTCCCCGTTGGGATGGCGGGGTTTGCTGTAATCGTGGCGTACGGATTATACAAACTGAAGAACAGGGGGAATACGAAAATGTCCATCCACCTGATCCACATGCAAGTAGCAGCCCAAGGCTTTGTGGTGGGAGCAATGACTGCTGGTATGATGTATTCCATGTATCGAGAATCCTGGTCAAACCTAATAAGTCTTAGAAGAAGACATGCTGCCTCCGTCTTGTTAGTGTTGCTTGATTAGACCCTTCACTTTGAAGTTAGGTGTTTTATGTTAAAAATAAATAATCTGAGTGGTTCCAGTAAGCACACGGTATTTTAGACACAGGCTTTCTTTATTGCAGCCTCGACTTGTCGTGTGACCAAATTGCCGGTGCCCTGACCACTAACTAGCCATCCAAGGGTGTCAGGTTAGCAAAAATGAAACAGGCCGCCCAAATTCTCAAACTCTTAGGAGGAAATTCTCTTTGAAAAAGACAGCGGGCTGACAGTGAAGGACTTGCAGAGGCTGCGGTACACCCCGTGTCGTGTGGTATGCTGTGTGCCCCGGTTAACTGAACTCTTTCCTGCCTGCCTTGACGAGTGACCAAGCATCGCAGTTACTCGAGCTAGTTGACTTTTTTTTTTTTTACCTCATTGACTTTTACAAAACCCTCTCAGAAAACAAGATGGAGTACTGTCTCTCATAACAGAAAAGGTGTGTATGTTTAAATTAATCCTAAAAATCTGGCAACAGCTGCTCAGAAGTAGTATTTATTTTAGAATTGTACACATAAAGGCTGCTGTAATTGCAGAATTCTATTTTTTTGCTGCTGTCACGTTAAAGTAACTTTTCAATGTCCTGTTGAACAGAAGTTGTACGTTCTGATTGCCAATCCAACAGTAAATGAAGATCACTTTAAAAAAAAAAAAAGAAGTGAAGAATAAATCCAAGCCATCAGTTGCAATGCTTAATGATGCTATGGACAGAATATTGAATGACTCAGGAAGCATTAAAAGAAGATAGAAGGAGTATACAAAGTCATTGCACCAAAAAGAATGGACTGACATAGAAAAACTTCATGAAACAACATATGATCAAGAGGCAATGGTGATGAAGGAGGAAGCGCAGGCTGTTCTGAAGGAATTGGCAAAAATAAAGTCCCAGGAATTGATGGAATACCAATTGATGTATTTCAGTAAAGAGATGTTGCCCAACATGTGTACACCAAGTTGTGCCAAGAAATCTGAAGGGCAACTACTTGCCAACTGACTGGATGAGATCCACATTTATTCCCATTCAAAAAATGGTGACCTGACAGAGTGCTGAAATTATTGAACAATGTCCCTAATATGACACCCTAGCAAAATCCTGCTGAAGATTATTCAGAAAAGACCTGAAGAGTACATTGACAAATAACCACCAGAAATACAAGCTGCTTTTAGAAGAGGTCATGGCACAAGGGATATTATTGCCAATGTCAGATGGATCTTGGCAGAGCACAGAGAGCACTAGAAGAATGTCTGTCTGTGTTCCATTGACTATGCAAAGCATTTGGCTCTTTGGATCACAATAAATTGTGGCTAACCT